TCAGCAGGAGGCAAGTGTGGAAGTGTCCAGTGAGGCTCAGGATGTGAACACAGACCAACTTCCATATATGAGCATTCCAAGTCTTCTGTTCTTCCATTACCTTGGTAAAAGTCTGAAGGATGGAGGTTTTAGCAGACGTAGACTAACTCCTTTTCAGGCAATCTGTGCTTTGATACTGTGATAGCCCACCAAATTCCTAAAGAAAAAGTGAATTAAAAAAAATGTTGAGGTTGCCTGCCTGTAGCTTTGGATGAACTTTGGATAGGCTGAATTATTCCAAAATACTTCAACTTTCCTTTAATCTGTAAAGGACAATCAACTTCCTGTAGGTGAATCAGGCACACACTAATAATGTGCCTTGCATCTTTGATTGCCTGTGAATTGTTTTCCTTACTCATTAATAAAAATCAGTCAAGACATGGTTGTCAGGTTTACTGAGAAACTTGCAGGATGCGTATCCAGGCTCAGATAAAGCTGACAACCTATCAAATTTAAGCTTTTGTTTTCAGTTGAGTCACTTCCTTTCTGCAAAATGTTACTGTGCAAACATTTCTGTATCATTTCAGAGTGTGTGAAGCTTTGTTCCATCTTTCTGAAATGATGGGACACTGGAAAGATGTTTTCATATGCTTTTGAACAATGCGTCTGTCACACTTGTGTTCTAGGAAACAATATTCCATTGTGATGATTGGATCTTGTTCTTTGATGTAGTAAGTTGTCATATGGGGGGAAAAAGCTGAAAGAGAATAATCTCTTTGCTCTTCTAAATAATGTCTGCTTTTATGCGCAAAAATTGCACCAAGTGTGTTTAGCTACGGAAATGCCTTCCAGCATGATCTCATCCACATAACGCAGTAACTCTTTGATCTTTTCAAGCAGTCGAATTCTGTGAGAGAATGATCTCATTGTGAACTCCAGTTCATTTCTGAACCCACTCTGTTGATAAGTAACTGTTGCTTTTCTGATGCGGTGTGCTGCCTCCTGCATCCTTCCTGACGACAGCATGTCCCTCTCTAGCCTAAATCCGTACAGCTATGATGAGAGCTGTCTCAGCAGCAGTGAAGACCACATCCCACTGGCTGCCTTGCCCTTGCTGGCGGTTTCATCTCCTCAGTACCAGGATGCAGTTGCCATGGTGATCAGTAGAGCCAATCAAGTTTACAATGAATTTCTCAAGTCTACAGATGGGGCTGGTTTTAATGGACAGGTAGGACTGTTATCTCTTACACCAAAGTAAAATTCCTTGTGCCTTTTCTTTTTAAACCGTTGTGTTGAGGAGTTTGAACTGTGAGTGTAGAACAATTCTGCAAATGTGGTGAATGACTGTTAGCATGGGATTACCTGTGCAAAATGCCTTCTTAGTGAGAAAGACACTTCTGAATCCTGTGCAATATTTAACCTGGATTTACTCAGTTGGTAGAAGTTACTATACCTCCTCCCACAAGCATTTTGACTGCTAAGCTCTTATTAAGTATTGCTGCAAAATCTGGTCGTACGTAAGAGTCCGAGTCGTGTGTTAGGTGTGGTATGCTGAGCAGTGAACCAGCATGCCAGCTCAAGACAAATGATAATCTGTGTTACTGAGTTCCTCACACACCTATTATAGCTGATAGAAAAGTTGGGACATCTCTGACTAAAAGCATAAGGAATTCAACATTTAACTATTGCTATTTCTTTTTTGCCTCCATCACAAAGGAGAGCAGTAATAAAACAGATGACAGTAAAGAAACTTAGAAGACAAGTACTCCATTGCCAGCAGTGTTGCAGATTTCCTGTGTAACTTTGAGAAGGTCGTGTAATTTTTCTAGTATGACCCAGTTCCCAGTGAAGTCACCTGCAGACTCCTGGCTGTCCTGTCACAGTTTACTGTTCGTGTTTCTCCACTTTTAGACTGCAAAACCCGGTATTTTCCTCTTCACATAGAATAAATATGACACTGCTTCCCTTTGTGCATTACTGAAATTATTTTGTGATGGGGCCCTCTATGTAGCTGGAAATGTGAATTTCCGTAGAGTACAATGACCTCCAGACTTGAGAAGAAAAGAATAGAAACACAGATAGTTAGTAGGGAATACAGTGTAATCTTTGAAGCAACACACGTGTCTTATTACACAGACAAATTCTTTTCCATGGTAGTAGGAAAGTAGTATTTTTATTTAGTAGGAAATCAGTATTTTTATTTAGTATTTTTAGACTAAAATTTACCTTCAAGCCAGTTTTAATATCCATAGTAAAATCTTCTTGCTTGAACCATAAAAACAGTCCAGCTGCAGTGACAGAATATTATGAAAGGTGAGATTATGTAAAGAGTAATTATGCCAGTTACAGAAATAATTGTGAAAACAATTCTCTCAACAGAGATTGAGTCTTATGGGTTTTTTCTCTGACAAAGCTACAAAGAAGTGTGTTTTACAAACCATTTATAGTAATATTTCACATGGAAAAGTCTGCATGACCTCTGTATACTCCACAGATTTTGCACCATAAACAGTTACCAGCATTGTTCTAAGCAGAAGTGAATTGTCTGTGCTGTCTACAGATAGAAATCTCAACTCTACCTCTGAATAAGCCCTGTACTTCTAAAATACATGTCATATAATCTGACCCTCACCTTGTGTGTATCTTTTCTATTTATATTGCAAGTTCATTCGATCAGAGATTGCCTTTTTGGTTTTATACAGTATCTGGGACAAGTTAACTCCATTATCTTAGTGCCAATAATAATGAGGATTAGAAATGGAACGGTAAATTGAAGGAGATTCTATTAATCCCCTCCAAAATATCCTATTAATTTTAAGGTTGTCTGTATCATATAATTTTCAGTTCTTTGTGGACTTCGTTGCGTGCCACAGGAGTTTGAAAATCAGAGAGTAAATCAGCATGGTGTTCAATATACAACTTTAGGGTAAGAATTGTCTTAGGACAAATCTTACCTTAATGTATTTTGATATTTTATGTTATTTATTTTTTAAAATGTTTTTGTCCCAAGAACTGTACTCACTTAGAGAGTGCAGCATGTGAAGATGCACTAGTGAAGATGCACTAACTGAATTTTGAGCATCTTGAAACACTCGCTTTTCCTAACACGCTTCGCTTTGAAGAAATCATGTACAATATCCTATTGTACAGAAATTGTGGTTTGGTTTTATAGCCAAGCTGACTTAGTGCTAGCAGCAAGTTAAGGTTTGTAAGAAGAGGGCATGTCTTCTGTGAAATGAGTTGGAGTTGGGAACAGCAAACTAGATGTTTGCTTCACTTTGAGAATGGGAGAGAAAGGGTTGCTGGAACCTGTGGAACCATGAGGGCTGTTATCAGGGAGAAAGGTAATAAAGCTGTTATTCATTCTCAGACACAGGCAGGGGGATAGGGAGAAGGAATCCTCTCCTAGGGGATGCAGAGATGTTCAGAGGAATTGGCCTTGTGAGGTAGATTCTCCATCCTGGGGACGTTCTGGAGCAACCTGACCTAGTTGTCCCTGGCTGTTGCAGAGGGGTTTGACTAGATGACCCTTAGGAGTTCCCTTCCAACCCAGCACATTCTAGGATTCTGTTCTATGATTCAGTTATAGTGTGCTGTAGAATTATTCCCAACTATTGAATTCCTGATTTTAGTACTCTATGTATTTTAATTTCCAGGTTCGTATCTGGGAAGGTGTGAACAAGGTAGCTTGTATGTTTGTATTAAATGTGAAGCAAGAGTGAATCTCTTTGCTTAATACCTCATTTGTAAGTTCCATTCCCTTGTCCTGACAGGCATGTACCAATCTGTTTTTAATCTGCTGAGAACCTGTATGACTCTGAAGGAAATGTTAAGTGGCTCAAAACCTTCGTGAGACCGGTTTTCTGGTGGTCTGGACTTTTTGAACTGGAATCTGGCTCAAAGCGGCTGGAAGAACTCCGGTCCCTTTGGCAGAACTCCCACCTGATCAAAATAGTCCCTGGGGCATATTCCTGGCAGAGGGCAGATGTCTAGAGACAAAAGGAAGGGGGAGGAAGTGGCTACACATTGTCAGCTGCGGTAGGAACTAAGGTGTGAAAAACCAGGAATGGGTGTAAAGAAAGACAGCAACTCCTCTGCAGTGCTGTGGTGCTTTTAGTTTGTTTTTAAAACACCTGCTACATCTCCCCAAAACATCTTTTTATTTCCTCAGGTGTGTCTCATTGGTGACTGCATTGGAGGAATTTTGGGCTTTGATGCCATCTGCTATAATTCTAATACAGCTGACGAGAGTCGGAACAGTAGCAGGAGAGGAAGCATCAGCAGCATCCAGGTGAAGAGAAAAAACCCCTATAGATTTATTCTCTGGAGTAAATCGGTTCCATATAAACCAGAGAAAATTTAAGGATTTGGTAAATTGCCACAGTAACACAGGGGTTTGCTTATTTATCAGAAAAACTGCTGTCTGAAAATTAAGCTGCACCTTCAGTTTTATGATACACAGAAACCAGGACTGTAGGCTCTATCTGTAAATCTTTAAAGCAGGGTTACCAACTGTGCCTTATTGTATCCCTAATTGTAGGTGTCTAACGGCCTCTCTCAGTAATCTCTGTTAGGCTTCTATTTTGCCAAAGTCTTTTACCTTTCCTTTTGGAGAGAGAAGGTCTGTTAATTTAATGAGGCAATGTAAATAAGGAATTAGAATGATACATTATTCTAATACCCAGGGTATTTTAGTTTCCAATGTACGCTAGGTAAGTAAGGATTATCCATAATAGGTCGCAACTTCTACAGTATAGGCAGAAATATGGATGATTACTAGAGATCATGATGCTTGTTGTGTATGCCTGCTTGTACAGGGCAGTATTTGAAAGTTCACGCGCATGATCAATAGAAGAATTTGCAGTAGAGCAAATGTCACTCTGCTCACACCGCACTAGTAACTCTTGCTCTTTAAAAATAATTTGTAAATATCAAAATACTTAACAAAGAAAGTGAGTATTGTCATATCACTCCTTGGGTTATTAATGTACAGAAGGATGATGTTGTCTGGGTCCAGGATTTGAAACAGAAGTCTCATATTAGAAATCACTGTACTTGATTAGGAATACTGTCTTTTAGAAGAGGAAGGTGATTCTTTTTTGCTGCTAAAATATTCATAATTCAGAAGTAAACAGCTCTTAATTAGGGAAAATGGAGAAAGTTGACAATTTGCTTCACATGGATCAAGGATAAATAGAAGCCACGAGTGAGTAACTAGTTCAAATCCTGTTATCGGTACCATTTTACTGCAGGTGAGATTTTAATTGTGGTGTGTGATGTAGTTGAAAGGGCTTGTAGCAATGGAAAACAGCCTTTTTAACTATTTAAATGCAGTAATCTCTATGCTGACCTCCTCAGCCTTTTTCTGATGCGTTGCCTAATGTGTCTTTAAGTGGTTTAGTCTGTTTTTTGAAGCTATATCTCACTCCCTGATCTGGCCAATATAAATGCTGAATTGGCTCAGTCTCTTTTGCAGTATACAAGAAAGACTGTGTTACAAAGGTGAACCTTAATGCTCAAAGCAGTCAGATTAAAATCTAGCCAGTTTTTTTTTTAAGAGGTTTGAATATGTGATTTTTTTAACACAACTTTTTTTTTTTGGCGTATCAGACCACTAAAAATTTGAACACTTCTTTACCATGATGCCACAGTGTGCAGGCATTTCGAATACTCTTAGCATCTGATGCAATTTTCGCCATTCAGATTCAGAGAGGGCCCAGATAGTTTAGAGAAGTTGATCTTTCAGTGATAGTTCTTCTCACCAAATAGCCACCTGTCTCTGGGGAATCGTTGTCAGGCTTTGCCCATTGATCGGCTGTTCCATAATGTGTAAAATGAATTTGGTCCCAGTTCAGTCCGCAGGGGACTGTCATGTGAACTGAGTGTTCTTGGGATAAAGCTGGCTCCAGAACTGGCACTAGCTGGAATTTCCAGGTTCCCTGTTCTCGAGAATAAGACTAATTATTCAGCTGTTAGAGAAGCTAGGAGGCGCTCTTGGCTGTTGAAGACTGTAGGTGGAACAGTGTGGGAAAGTTCATCTCATAGATCATGCACTGCTTCTGTCTTGGTTTCATTTTCCTGTAGCTCATCTGCATAATTCTGGAGAGCAACTTAGGTTCTTGAACATCGCTTCTTGAAGTCTCATCCCATGTGCACAGAGCTGCTAATGTGCTCCAGTACTGAGTGAAGTTATGGGAAATACCTGTTCTATGAACTTGTTCTTCCTGTAGCTTCTGAGAAACAGATTCAGTTAGCATGTTTTCCGTATGCCTGCATGACTTTGGTGACATCTCTTCATCTGTCACACCTCAGTCCTCATCTGTAAGCCTTGCACTCTTTCTCACATCCTCTGGTTTGTCTAGCTGGATTTTGCACTCTTTGCAAGTTGCTTAAAAGTACTGAGGATGATAAAGTCTATTTTCACTTTGGGCATTTGGGCATCTTATGAATTGGGAAGAGTAGTCTAGTGATGCTTCAGCAGTGTAGTACAGTGACATAATGCTGTTTCAGAGAAGACAGATGCAGGGAGTAGTGGTGGAGAAAATGTAAATGATTGTGGGGAGAGAGTGATATGCAACAAGGAACAGAACAGCTTTGAATTCTGCTCTCTTGCACGATGCCTAGCCAATTTCCCAGTGACCTTTTGTGTTATTCCACCTCCTCCAGCCTAGAATTTCTCATTCACCTTCCAGCTTTTAGGTTATACATCTTATAGAGAATTTTAATCTTCATCTCTTTCCTTTACTGTGGAGGGAAAGCCTAAACCTTTCTACCCTTCCTTGGGTAAAGCCAAATGTATAAATGCAGCCATTTCTATAACCTCTGTCATATTTTGGTCACTGTCTAAATCTTCCTTTTGGTCTGTTCATTCTCTGAAGGATAATCCCCTCTTAGCAGAGGACTCCAGTCTGGGTGGCAGCAAACGCCTGAGCAAAAGCAATATTGACATCTCGGAAATGATGGAGGATGAGAAGCCAAGGCAGCCATTGCCGAGGAAACAGAGTGACTCATCCACCTATGACTGTGATACTATAAGCCAACATCATGCTTTCCTGTCTAGGTAACTAGAGATTGATGACTGAGTAAAAGAAACTGGCTTGCCATCGAACGGAGCCTGTCAGCACCAGAGCAACAGAGTAATTTTTATTATTTATGGTGTAGTTTTGGAGGTTTGCTCAAAGTTTCTAAATGCCTTTCAGAGAAAACCATAGATACAGTGGTGCCAGTATGAACTTACTCAGACACAGAGAGTTTTTTATTTAATCTTTATTCAGTTGTGAGAGTTCTGAAAATGTAAAACTGAATGCAAGTAGTTCTGTTTCTTCAGTGCAGCACACACAAATCAAGATCAATGAAATCATTATCATTCTATATTTCTGTTACGTTTTCCTTTCTAAAGATCACTCTGACTTCACTTATGGGCTTTCTGTTACTCTTTACAGAGTGAGATAATTATTTTAGGTCCTTCTGTTGGTTTATGAGCTGTTCAGGTCAGATTTTAAAAAAAAAAAAAAA